CCTCCCTCTTCTCCTCTCTGCATTCCTTGTCCCTCCTTCCTCTCCTCTCTTCTCCTCTCTCTCTCCCTCTCTCCCTTCCTATCTCCTCACCCTTCACACTCCCCGCCTCCCCAGGGTACCAGAGGGTCCCTGCTCATCCCGTGCCTCAGTTTCCCCGCTAGCTCGGGGTCCCAATAAACGCACCAACCACCTCCCGCCTCCTGCGTGTGAGGAGGGGAAGGGGCAGGCTGGGGCCAGCAGGGACCCCGACTCTGTGCCAGGCTGTGTGTCAGGGTGAGCCAGGGGTGGTAGCAGCGCCGGGGACAGGTGACAAACAGCACCTTCCTACAAAAAAAGCCTTTATTGCCCTAGAAAAGCCCCGCAACCCCCGCGGCTGGTGCCACCCAGGGGGCACCGGGGGCACAGGGAGAGTGCCAAAGAGGGGGTCACCCAGCTCTCCCCCACGTGCCCCCCAGTCCCTGCTGCACCTCCGCGTCAGTCCCAGCCGTTCTCCTTCACCATGTGCGACATCTCGATGATGAATTTCCCCTCCTTGTACTTCTGGCTGCTCTCGAACGCCTGCTCCTGGGTGGGGGGACACAGTGTCAGCCCCCACATGCCCCGATGGGCGCTGCCCTCCCCAGGGCTTGGGGGTGTCACCAGCACAGGTTTGGTGTGCCCGGGGGTGCCCATGGAAGGAGTTGGGGTGCCCAGACAGGGATTTGTGTGCCCAGGGGTGCCCATGGAAGGGATTGGCGTGACTCTAGGGGTGACCGTGGAAGAGGTTGGGGCACCCAGACAGGGGCTGGGGTCCCCGGGCAGTGCCTGCAGCAGGTGGGGGGGTCCCAGCTGGGGGGCACTCACGTATTTCCAGCCCAGGGTGGTCTTGCAGCTCTGGCAGAAGATGTCGGCCACCGAGTGCAGCCCCGTCAGCAGCAGCCGCTGCTCAGCCGGGCCGCACCCCACGTTCACCCTGTACCGAGAGCAGAGTGTCCCACAGGCTCGGCACACCCAGCCCGGGGACCCCCCGGGACCCCCGGGGCTCCCCCTCCCCTCTGCCATCCCCGGTGTCCCCCAGTACTCACACGGAGTTGAACAGGTAGGCACGGCCGTGGCTGCCCTGGAAGGACTGTGGGGACACGGCGAGTGTCACTGGTGGGTCCCCCAGGGCCCCCGGCACCCCTCCCTCCATGTCCCACTCCCATCCCGCTGCACTGCCACCGAGCAGCGCACCAGCCTGGGGACACTGCAGGGGGACACCTGCCGACTTGGGGACACTGAGGGGGACACGGTCACCTCCATGGGAACACCGTACGGGTCACCACGCCGTGAGGGGTGGGGGGGTGGATGCTTCCCGCCTTGAGGCGACGCTGGCCA